GGGGTTGTTAACCAATGTCATAAAACAATATGTGTACTACTGTTTCATGAGAAACTATTTGTTCTGTAAGCCTTCACCTGAAGTACAATTTAAAAAAAAAAAAAAAGAAAGCACGGCTCCTTCTCTTCTGCTCCAAGGCAGCAAAAGTCAGCCACGAGCAGCTCCGAAGCCAGGCTGCTGCGGACAGAGCCATGACCCCACGCCTGACATCGCTATTTGCTGTTAATTGCATGATATTCCATTTCAGTTTCAAGAAGGATGTGGGGCTTTAAAAAGCCAAATAGTTTTCCAGTCACCACCAGAGAATGGTTTCAGAAACTCGACACCCACCGTCCTGCCGCTGCAGGGCTGGCTCCTGCCCCAGGTGACCGAGAGCATATTTGCACACTTACACCAAGGATGCTGGACACGGGGTGGGCTCAGAATGTGGGCCCGGGAGCTGACGAGGCTCATGCCCTATGCCCCCAGGGCTGGGGCAGCTTTTTCCTTGGATAGCCGCAACACTGCAACGCGCAGCCACATTCGAATTTTTAATCATGGTCTGTGAGCCTTCGGGTGACTCCAAAACCCTGTCAGGGAGTCCACGAGGTCAGAATGATGTCCACGATCATCGCTGTTGCTATTAGCTGCTGTCAAGTCGGCACCTGAGACCCCACGCACGACTGAACCAAGTGCTGCCCGGTCCTGAGCCACCGCCACGCTCCGTCGCAGACTGGAGCGTTGTGATTTAGGATTTTCGTTGGCTGGTTCTCAGGAGATCACCAGGCCTTTCTTCCTAGTCCGTCTTAGCCTGGAAGCTCCGCTGACGCCTGTTCAGCATCACAGCAACACACAAGCCTCCACTGACAGACACGTGGTGGCTGTGCATGAAGTACATTGGCCAGGAATCAAACCCGGGTCTCCCGCACAAAAGGGAAGAATTCTACCACGGAACCAGCATAATACCATTAAGTAGCCACCATGTGCCCGGCAGTACACTAAGGGCTCGATGTACAATAACCCTTCAAGAGAGGCCTTCTTTCCACCGTCTTACAGAGGGTGAGGTGGGGGGAGGACAGGTTGAGCTCACGGAGTTAATAGTACGAGGCAGACGGGATCCAGAACACAGGTCAGCTTTACTCTAATCCCGAGTCCCTGGGCGGTGCAAACTGTTAGCACACGCAGCTGCTGACCGAAGTTTGGAGGTTCAACTCCACCCAGAGGCTCCTCAGGAGAAAGGCCTGGCAATCTACTTCCGAAAAATCAGCCGCTGAAAATTCTGTGGAGGACAGTTCTACTCTGGCACACGTGGGGATGCCATGAGTCTGAGTCAGCTCACTGGCCGCTGGTTGGTTTGCTTTTGATTGTTTATATCACACCCCCCTCTAAAGTACCCATGGTGGAAGAGCATGTTAAGTCCAAGCATGTGACGTCCAAATCACTGTTGTTTTTCCTTAACCCTAATTTTGTATCCACCACGTGTCTGTCTGTCTGTCCTACTGCGGTGGCTTGTGTGTTGCTGTGATGCTGGAAGCTTTGCCACCAGTATTTCAAATACCAGTGGGGTCACCCCTGGTGGACAGGTTTCAGCTGAGCTTCCAGACTAAGACAGACGAGGAAGAAGGACCTGGTGGTCTACTTCTGAGAAGAATTAGCCAGTGAAAACCTTACGAATAGCAGCGGAACACTGTCTGATACAGTGCCGGAAGATGAGCCCCCCGGGTTAGAAGGCACTCAAAATATGACAAGACAGACGGACACAGTGGCTGCAGCAATGGGCTCAAGCATAACAACGACTGTGAGGGTGGCGGAGGACTGGGCGGGGTTTTGTTCTGTTGTCGACAGCACCTAAAACAACAACAACAAGGTCATTACTCAGACTGAGCTTTACGTCATTATTTTACTATTAGCCCTTACATCAAAAAACAGAACCTTAGAACGGGAAGAAGAGCTGTAGGTAATCTGTCCAACTCTCACGTTTTACTGATGGAAAACTGAGACTCAGAGACTTAGCCAAGGTCCCAGCCTAGTGCACCACACCCACTTGTATAGCACTGAGTACTGGCCGGAATAGCAACTAGTTAGTCTAAAAAGTAACTACATCTTATATATTTTTTAGGTATTATAAAATACTTTTATGTGTTTTATCTCATTTGATCCTGAAAATATCACCAAACCCGTTGACGTCAAGTCGACCCCGACTCCTGGCCACCCCGTGTGTGTCAGAGTAGAACTGTGCTCCGTAGGGTTTCCAATGGCTAGTTTTCCAGAAGCAGATCACCAGCCCTTTCTTCCCAGGTGCCTCTGGGTGGGTTCAAAGCACCAACTTTTCGGTTAATAGTTGAGCGCTTAACCATTTGCATCACCCAGGGATTCTTGCCATCTTATTACAACTTTAAGACTTGGTACCCGTGGATGCAGTAAGGGAACCTAGCTCACATAATTTTTTTTTTTTTTAATTACGCTTTAGGTGAGAGTTTACAGAGCAAATTAAGTTCGCATTAATTAACACACATATTGTTTAGGGACATCGGTTGCCAACCCCATTAGTTGTCAATACTCTCCCCTTCTCAACATTGGGTTCCCTACTTCCATTCATACAGCTTTCCTGGCCCCTCCTGCCTTCTCTTCCTTGCCCCTGGGCTGATGTGCCCATTTAGTCTCCTCGTACACAAGGTCGAGCTACTTTATTATTGTTTGTTTTATAAGCCTGTCAAATCTTTGGCTGAAGGGTGAATCTCAGGAGTGA